CAAACAGTTTACAAAAGAAATTCTGATTTCTTGAGGTGTAAGATGCTTAGCATTTCATTTATTTAGTTATTTGTGTGATTTTCTGGAATGCAAGTCTGATTATGTATCTTCCTTAAGCAGAATTGTTCAGTCCTTTGCTTATATTTCCTGAAGTAACCCAGTGAAAAGATTCACCTGGGTATTTAATAAAAATCCCCCGTTCCAGGTCCTACCAGACCAACGAGATAAAAATAGCCAGCCAAGGGGATTGGACACAGGTATTCTTAATAAGCACCCCGGGTGGTTTTTATCATCAAACCAGTCTGGGAAACTGACCCAAGATAGAAAATCTTACTCCTTAGTTCTCTGCAAGGGGCTGCCCTAGGCTCATGACCAGACCCCCTAGCAGTCCAGGGTTGGGTTTCCACAGCAGAGACCTCCTTGGTATAAGTCTCCTTGTTCTCTCCCTCCTCCTGCAGGTGAGTTTGCTATTCCTTCAGCCCAGAGTACCCTTACCCCTATGTGTATCAGCAAACTGCTAGGTCAATCTCAAGGTTACCTCCTCAGTGCCCCTTTGCCCAAGCATGGAAACTTCCCCAAACACCTCCATTGCTCTTTGACACACATACTTTAAGACCCTGAAGGTCACTGGCTCTCACTGTCTGCACTGTCTTCTCACTGAAGGTGGGGCTCTGGACTTTCCGCCTGTTCTTTATAGTGCCTAGTAAGGAGCCTGGCACAGAAAAATGGTCAGTGAAAATCTTTGTAACAAAAGCCTGCAGATGCTAGTAATAATAGCATCTTTACATTTTACCAGGTGGTTTGCAGATGGCAGCGTGCTTTTCGTTTCTACTCATTTAATCTTCCCCAGTCTTGAGAGGTGGGACTGTTATTTCACAAGGTGAAAATTGAGAGGTTAAGTCACTTGTCCCATGTCCCATGATTTTAAAAAAAAAACAGATTTATTTATTTATTTGAGAGATGAAAGAACATGTGCAAGTGGGAAGGGAAAGAGGAAGAGGGAGAGAGAGAATCTCAAGCAGACTCCCCACTGAGCACAGAGCCCCAGGTGGGGCTCGATCCCAAGCCCCTGAGATCATGACCCAAGCCAAAATCAAGTTTGTTGTTGAGTTGTAAGAGTTCTTTATATATTCTAGATATAAGTTCCTTATTAAATACATAATTTGCAAATATTTCTCCCAATCTATGAATCATCTTTCCACTTTTTGGTGGTTATAGCTGTATATCTTATACAGGACATTATGTCTTCCAGGCTCTTCCACAGTCTACCACTGTCCACTCCCCTTTCCATAGCTTAATGGTACATTTCTTCATTACAACACTGGTGTACTAATATTATCAACTTAGGATTTATATTTCCTACCAGAAGGAGTTGTGCATCATAAATCTTTGTAACTCCTGCCTAACACAAAATAGGGGCTCAATAATGGCTTGGTTAACTAAATTAAAATGAAGCTTGAGTCTCAAAAAAATGATCCAGGTCAATACTAGATACATGAAAGCTAATAGAGTCCTGCGAGAGTGTCTTTAAAGAAGGTGGGTGGGAAGTTGCAATCCCTTCTACAGAAGTAAGACTCACACATTTTCGAGAAATCACTCTTTAACGTGATGCTTTCACCAGTTCCAGCCCTCATGATTCTTTGGTACCTGGGATGACAGTGGTGCTATGTCCTGTTAGCCCCCTGTGGTCCCATTAAGGATTGAGAGGGTGTGCGGTGCAGTACATCACTGCCTTCTTTGATCTGTTCTGAGCGGTGAGCCAGAATTTATATGAATGTTTATTTTACTCATTTATTAAAAAATCTTTTCAGTTTGTCAGTGCCATATAAGGTTAGATCACGTCTAGTGAGGTCATGTTAATAAAGCTTTACCATACGTGCAGTGAAGTGAGCTCCTCTGACATTGTGCTGCCTTGCGGCTCTGGTGTGGTATGAGGAACCCAGAGGTTTTCTCTTCCTAATAAGGCATGTCTTATGGTAGTACCTTTATACTGATATTTTTTTTCCTTATGTTCTTTTTTGATGATCTTTTCCTCATTTGTCCCCAACTTGTCTAAATTAAAGAGGTGATCAAAGGAATTCTCCTTCAGTTTTTGGAGCATGTTTTATTTTCTTACAACAATATCCTAGATTCTGTCCCTTCACATTTTCCTTCTTGAAAATGCTGTTACTGTTCTGTTTTCATGGGGAAATTACAGATAATATGAAGTAACAGTTACTGCCTGCAAAAAGAAGATGAGTTTTTTTAACTGTTTAAATATAGTCCTCCTTCTCAAAATCCCCTAGCTCTTGATTTTTTTAGAAAATTTTTTAAAAAAGATTTTTAATTTAATTAATTAATAAATAAAATAAATTTTATTTATTTATTTGACAGAGAAATCACAAGTAGGCAGAAGTAGGCAAAGAGGCAGGCAGATCGAGAGGGAGAAGCTGGCTCCCTGCTGAGCAGAGAACCCAATGCGGGGCTCCATCCCAGGACCCTGGGAGTACGATCTGAGCTGAAGGCAGAGGCTTAACCCGCTGAGCCACCCAGGTGCCCCTAGTTCTTGATTTTAAACAAGCAAGCAAGCAAGAGAAGCAAGGAAGAGAAAAATCTAAGAATGAGACTGAAGAAGGAAGCCCACAGAATTTTTGTGTAGTTCTATTGAGATCTGTACTCTTGGCCACTTTTATTTATTTGGCACTAACACTGCTTAAAAGAGAGAAAAAAAACAAAACACTAGTTGACAGCCTAAGACGATTGATTTATTTTCTCTTAGCGCAGCAAGATGTGCTAAAATTACTAAATCTTAAAAGACTTACTGTGATTCCTGAATGAGAAATATCCCCACCCTTGATTTCTTTTTTCTTCATGAAACAAAAATAGTTCTGTATTTGTAGGGAAAAGAGTTTGGCAGACATGGTGATTATAATACTGTATTGAAAAACACTTACTTTGATTGACTAAAAACCAGATGCTGTTCCTGGTACTTAAAAGCCTGTAATAATGTTTTCACTCTAGTGATCACCACACTTCTATGCGATTAGTAATGGCTCCCCCAATCTAGAGGTAGAGAAACCAAGGAGAGGACACTTGAGTAATGCTTCCTACGCTCCCCAGAGCAGAGTTGCCTGGAACATGACCTTACTGAGGGCCTCGTTTCATAGTTATTTGGGCCTTTTTTGCCAGGATAAAGTATTTAATCTCCTTAAATCTCAGTTCCTTTTTTGTAAAATGAGGATAATACTCCTACCTACTTCAGTAGGGTGTAGAATAGTGTTTGATTATTGTTAGCCATTATTACATTGAGCATGTTTCCTGACTCCCCATTGAGAATTTGACTACCCTGCTGTTAATGAGCTTGATTAAAAACATGGCCAAGTGTATGCATACATATTGTGAGCTCAGTCTTTCCCTATTGAAGAATAATAGGAAGGAATTGAGGAGATGTTATTTGGACATTGATTTCTCTCTCTCCTTTTTAAAGATTTTATTTTATTTTTTTTTAAGATTTTATTTATTTATTTGACAGACAGAGATCACAGGTAGGCAGAGGAGCAGGCCGAGAGAGAGGAGGAAGCAGGCTCCCCGCTGAGCAGAGAGCCCGATGTGGGGCTCGATCCCAGAACCCTGGAATCATGACCCTAGCCGAAGGCAGAGGCTTTAACCCACTGAGCCACCCAGGCGCCCCTAAAGATTTTATTTTTAAGGAATCTGTACACCCAGATGCACCCAGATGTGGGGCTCAAACTCATAACCCCGAGATCAACTCTTTTTTTTTTTTTAAAAGATTTTATTTATTTATGTGAGAGAGAGCATGAGCGAGGAGAAGGTCAGAGGGAGAAGCAGACTCCCCGTGGAGCTGGGAGCCTGATGCAGGACTCGATCCTGGGACTCCAGGATCATGACCTGAGCCAAAGGCAGTCGTCCAACCAACTGAGCCACCCAGGCGTCCCCTGAGATCAACTCTTGAGTGGAGAGTTACATGCTCCACGGACTGAGCCAGCTGGGCGCCCCTGGACATTGATTTCTATCAACTGTACTCAATGAGATTCAGCCCTCACTTTTAGGGAATACGCACTGACTCCGGGAAGGATGAAATAAAGTTTTCCAGTATGAATCTGCTTGTCTGGAGGTGAACCCTAGGTCTCAGACAAGAATAAGTCCGTTGTTATGGCTGTATCTCATTTTCCAGAACACACCGTTTTCATTGTAATAGTCATTTACAGATAGTTTTGCATGATACGCCTTTGCTTTTGTGTTTTCGCTAAATCAGTCAAAGACTAACCTTAACCTTCTGAATGTATTAAAATCATCAAAGGATTCTCTTCAGGATTACATGTGTCAATAGAGCTGTTAGTTTGAATGGTGTGTAAAAAGTGAAGGCCAAGCGAAGAGCCTTTGATGTTGTGACTAGAATAATGAAGTGCAGTCTCAGGACTCCATTTATGAATGGATTATTTGGATATAGAAAGAAATTATTTTTAGGCACGGCATTCCTATAAACCCAGAAGCTACATGTTTTACAAACTAGAAATTTATGCACTAAATACAAATTACCAGATGTCAGTTTCTGTATGTGCCAACTGGCAAATATGCGGTGGTTCAGAAGTCTGGAAGAAATGATGCTCGCATCTTTGCCATTCAAACTCAGAAGGGATAGTTGAGGGAAAATGCTGTTGAAAAAATTACAGTGTACACAGCACCTCAAAGATGTCACGTGTCATGAATTGTTATCTCCAAGGCTTTAATTTTTTTGCCCTCATGGCTCCATGCATGTTTGTGGCATTGCAAATGTAACCCATGTTTCTGTTCTAATTTCTGACATCCTTTCCTGGGACTTGTTTCATTCTTTTAAAGGGTCAGCAGATTATGTAAAGAACGAATCTAGACCCAGCAATCTTGTAAAGGTCCAATACAGAGCTAAATGTGTAGTAGGATTCGTTACCGTTATCTTGCACATACCAGCACACCTCACTGATTTTCACAAAACCGTCCAATGGATTCTCTTCTTTCCTTAGAAATTCGAGCTCAGCTGGTAGAACAGCAAAAATGCCTGGAACAGCAAACAGAGATGAGAGTTCAGCTTCTCCAGGACCTGCAGGATTTCTTCCGGAAAAAAGCTGAAATTGAGACGGAATATTCTCGGAACCTAGAGAAGTTAGCAGAAAGGTTCATGGCAAAGACAAGAAGCACTAAGGATCATCAACAGTACAAGTAAGAGAGACTTGACTCAAATTCATCTTTCCAAGGTGATACCTACCTTCTTAACACCTCCTTGGTTTTAGAATTTTCCATCTTTGGGAAGCTGTTGATTAGCATATCCCCATATGTAAAAGGCAACTCTTTGCATTTATAATTTATGAGCATCAATGTATCACATTTTTTTCCAATTTTTATTTATTTATTTATTTTCAGCATAACAGAATTCATTGTTTTTGCACCACACCCAGTGCTCCATGCAATCCGTGCCCTCTCTAATACCCACCACCTGGTTCCCCCAACCTCCCACCCCCCGCCTTAAAAGTGATCTCTTGATATTTTTTTCTTTCCAGTAAATGTATATTTGTGGATGACTTTATAAATAAGAAGAAAAGGTGTATGTATATAAAATTTCTGATTACAGAAAAGTGGGAGTCACTCTCTACCAGGTAGATGTTTCAGTGGGCACATTTAAGATGGCTGCTTCTTCAAGCAAAAACCTCAGGATTTCTGTAGTGATTTTGTATGAAAATAAGCAGTAGGGGTTGCTTATGTTTAGGTCCCTACCCCCCAGTCATATTTGTGGTCACTGCAGTTGAGACTGACTTAAAACAAGGATCTTTAGGAAAATAATATGACCAAATGCAGTTACACCTTGAATTAATTTAAAAAAAAAAACAACTTTGAATTAAATGTACTTCCTTTGTTTAAAAAATACATACAGATTTTCTGATATGAAATTTGCTTTGTAATTTAGATCCTAGAGACAGACAAGTAGGCAGACAACTTTAATGGAAAATCCAAGTACTGTGACAGGATAAGTGCAGGCAGACCCGATGGAAATCCATTTAGTAGTGGAGGTGGGGAAGGGAAGGTCAGAGAAAGATCTTGGAGGAAGTGACACGTAAGTGAAACATGAATGACTAGTTGGCAAGTTGAGGGGCCCAGAGCAGGAGGTTCCAGGCAAGGGGAGCATCCTGCATCAGGGAGTAAGAGGGAAGGGGTGTAAGGCAGTTTTATGGAACAGAAACAGTTGGGTGGGAGAGAGTAGTGAGGTGGTGAGAGGTGTGGCTCCAGATGAAATTGTGCCAGGTCCAGGAGGCTTGTAGATCACACTTGGCAGTTTGGACTTTGTCCTGAGAGCATGAGAAGCCTTTGGAGAGTTTTAATAAGAAGACTGGCCAGCTCAGACCTGAACTTATTTTTATTTTAGTTTTAAAGATTTTATTTATTTAATTTGACAGAGGGAGCAAGACAGCACAAGCAGGGGGAGTGGCAGGCAGAGGGAGAGGGAGAAGCAGGCTCCCCGCTGAGCAGGGAGCCCGATGTGGGGCTCATTCCCAGGACCCTGGGATCATGACCTAAGCTGAAAGCAGACACTTAACCAACTGAGCCAGCCAGGCACCCCTTAGACCTGCATTTTAGAATGATGATGAAGACCACAGATAGGACTATGGACTGGAAGAAGCTATAGTGGAGGAAGGGAGAGCATGCAGGGGGCTCACAGTAATGGCATGCACTAGCAACACCACAGGGAGAAAGAAATAGACTTGTCTAGGAGATAATTAAAAGGCAACACAATCTTCTGGAAATATAGTAGACTAGGTAATCTGAAAAGTATCTCTTATATAAAACTCCCAGAAATGCTGATTAAAATATGATAGACATCATTTTGAATGTGTAACTGAACTCATAGGAAAGAAAGGGAAATTTCCAGGGGCCAAAAAAGGAAGAGGAAACTGAAAACTCAAGTGGACATTTATATCCATGCTTTAGTCCCATATGGGGACTAAAGGTGAGGCCTGTGCAAGGTAGGGTGGTGGGACTGGAGGTTTCCTACCAGCAACCCTTTTGCGCTGCACTCCAGCGTAAAATCGGGACCAGCACAACGACTGTCTTAGTGCATTGGTAAAACAGAAAACCACCAACCCCCTGCAACAACAAGGCCTGTCTGCTCAGCCTGAGCTGCAGACTGGAGGGGGTATCAGAGAGGCCCGTCTTTGTCTTCACCACTGGCTTTGCTGTTTTCTTTTATACCCTTCTGTGGCCTTGGATCCTACATAGAAAGTAGGGTGGGCAGTATCCCCAGAGTACTTTTGCAGAAGCAAATGAAGAATAATTCTAGATAGGGAATACTTTTTTTTTTTTTTTTTTAATGGCAACCTCTCATGTTGGTCCAACATAGAAATAAATCTTAATCATGGTTTCCAGGGTGGACAGATGTCCAATGTACTTGACAGAGACTAGAGCTGGAAAGGAGACTGAAGCCTACTCTATTATAGTAACTGTCCCTTTTTAAAGTAAGAAAACAGCCCATTCACCCATTCAGTAAATATTTTTTAATATCTTCTGTGCACTTGGTAATCGGTTGCGAACTGGGTATGGGCCCATGCACCTTAGTCTGATCCCTTAGGGCTTCAGCTGCCCCTTTTTCTTTCTCCCAGTTTGTGGACGTGTTTTTGTCAAAAGGTAAACCGTTTGGAATTTTCTTTGACTTGGGTAAGTTTATTGAATATGGAATGAAGGTAAGATGGATTATGAGTCTACAGAAAGGACAAATCAAGGATAGGAAGAAAATCAAGGACAGACTTCACGAAAGAGCCAGACCTGGTTCGTATACTGGCTTTGCTGTGTGGTTTTGGTCAAGTTGCTTACCCTTTCTGAGCCTTGGTTTCCTAACTTGTACAACGAGATTTTGTGACCATTAAATGGGAAACGTGATGAAGTGCTTGATGTGACTGATAGCCGGCATGGGTTATGTACTCAGTGTTTCCTCTCCTCTCCACCAGATAAATGTTAAGTCTTGGGCACAGCACTCAGCTTTGGGATGTTTATTATGTAGTTCATTATGTCCTTAGCTTAGAGTTACCTCTGACAGAAGACCAATGCTTAGATCAGCCTTCCTCTTACTCAAAGACTCTGATACCAGCTTTGGTCTTAACAGCAAATCAGCGTGCCTCGCTAAGCCTCACTTCTCTCACGGACAGAGGGGATACAAAGAATTTCTGCCTTGAATTATAGTGGTAAGGGTTATGTAGAGTTACTGTGTGTAAAGTCTTTAGAACATCCCCTAGATAAAAATAGCGAAATTTGTAGAACACTTATTATGGATCTAAGGCATTATAGTAAGCATTAAAATATACATATATTAACTGAAATAATCCTCATAAGAATCTTATAAATACTGTTATTTTACCCACTCTCCAAATGAAGTTACAGACGCAGAGAAAAGCTTAAATAATTTGGCCAAGATCACGTAGCTAGTAAGTGTAGCTCTGGGACTTGACCTCGAACAGTACAGATCCATATTCTTTGTGTCGTATTCCTTAGAGTAACTGATGCATGCCCGACAGCTACTGCTGTTACTGGTATTGGTATTTTGGTATTGTTATCATTTATTAAGGCAATATTATGTGTTTATTCAGTGAGTGAAATAGCATTTATTAAATGCTTACCATGGGGAAGGCACTCGGTCTACAAAGACATAGGAAATGTTGTCAAAGTAAGAAATGTTCTCAAAGAATGTATGGGTTACTTCAGCATAAAGGACACACGTAAAAGTCAGTATAACAAGGTGATCTTTATCTCTCAGGCTCACTGGATAGAGAATGTCAATGGAAGGGCTGTTGTCTGTCATAGAACCAGTGCCCCTTGCTTGATGGCTTTGAGAAAAAAAGGACGTTCCCTAGGTTGGGGCTGTAGTTCTGCTGTGCCAGGAGGCTTTTCTAGTGTGAGCCAGGGCTAGGACCCCAGAAGAGGACTTTCCCCCCCGCACCTGTTCCTGCTTCCACTTCCGTCCTCTACTTTATCTTCCTTCTGTAGAGCGTTTGGACTTGATTCATTATCAAATCCTGAATCTGAGGAACGTATAGGCAGAAAGAGCTGACTTAATGATTTCTTTCCTAACTTAATTAATATTCAGAGTCATAAATGATCATGAGTCGTAGAATAACATGTCTGATACAGATGGCTCTAGTGTCCCTGAGTTAGCTTAAGCCTCTGGTGCCTTTTCTTCATTTTTCAGTTAGACTTCAAAAAACAAAAAGCAGGGGGTATAGCTCAGTGGTAGAGCATTTGACTACAAAAAACAAAAAGCATTATACTTTTTCCTTTTTTTTTTTTTTTTTTTGAAGTAGTAACATCCCAGTTAGTTAGTGGTTTTGCTTGGAGGTTTTCTTTAAGATTTTTTACAAGTCGTCTTTTGTGGTTTATATTCACTTTTAGGTTTATTATCTAGAATAAAACAAGGTAGGAGCACCTGGCTGGCTCCATAGGTAGAGTGTTGCTGCTCTTGATCCTGGGGTTGTGAGTTCAAGCCCCACGCTGGGTGTGGAGCCTACTTAAAAAGAGGAATTAAAATAAAAATATAAAAATAAAACAAAGTATGTTTACAAATGTGAAATAGTTTATAAGCCAGTAAACTTCTTGGTTCTGTTCACGAGCCTCCCAAAAATGTTGTCAAGTTGTGATTCCCAGGAACACGTTTTGGGAAGCTAGTATTTATGTATCAGGGGACTAATAAATAATCCTCAAATGTATGTTCCACAGAAAGCATACCTAGCCAGATCTCTTTTCCAGCAGCAGACTGGACGTTTAAAGCAGACTTTGTGTGTAGCGGCAAACCACAGTCTGTCTGTGAGACGATAGTCAATAGATTTTTATGTAAATATAACTACTTTCTTCACAATGGGGTGTTTAAAGCTGAGAGCCTGCCTGATGACTTGTGTATATTAGGGTCCAATGGCCCATGTCAGGAGTGTGGGTTTTGACTGGTGTTCTTGGTCCAGTTTTTTCCTTCCGAGTCTAAGGAATTGCTGGCTTTCTGCCATCACAGCGTGGAAGGCTCTTCTGCTGTCTGCTGAGTAGCCCTCTCTGAGCAACACCCAGAGCAGGAAGAAGAGCAACAATACCCATCTGTTGTGGCTCCTCATGTGCCTTGGTGACTTCCCTCAGCTGCTTGGGACAGCTTCGAAATTGATGGTAATTCCATTTTTTTTTTTCACTTCTCAGGAAAGACCAGAACTTGTTGTCTCCAGTGAACTGCTGGTATCTGCTTCTGAACCAAGTGAGAAGAGAGAGCAAAGACCATGCAACCTTGAGTGACATCTACCTGAACAATGTGATTATGCGGTTCATGCAGATAAGTGAGGACTCGACCAGGATGTTTAAAAAGGTACTTTCCATCTCAGTCCTGCCGCAGAGTACTTTTCCATAACCTGGGCCCCTAAGCACGACTGAGAAGGGTCTGGTGCCTTCGTTCCTTAATTGTACTCCATGAGTTTTTAGCTAAAAGAAGGAATATTTTAAAGACACAGAATAAAAAAGTTTAGCCTGAGCAGGCATATGTACAGAGTTGTAAATCACTGAATCTGTGACCTGAACAACGTTAGCAAAATTGTGAAATGAGATGATCTGCAGATTGCCCGTCTGTCCTTAGGAATGCATTGCCTGCAGTTGTGAAAAATGAAATCAGAGGGGAAAAGCCTTAGAGTCTGTGTTTGGGGCTCACACATGATCAGACACTTGTGAAGGACAGGATAACCAGATGTGCTGCTCTCTTGGGAAAATGTTATCATGGTTTTTTTCTTTGCTCTCAGCAGACTAGCAGTGGAGGTGGTGAGAGGATGACATGAAGACAATCCCAGAGGGCACAGAAAATTCAGGCTCTTACATGCCAGAGAGCTTCCGCCTTCCCAAATCCACTTACAAAATAGGAGCTGGGCTTTTAAGCCTTCTTATCATTGTTACTACTCTCAGCCAGCTCTCGGTAATTTTATTTTTGTTGAGAACAGTCACAGAATTGGACCATATCCTGTGTGGGGAATGCAGCTACATGCCCAGTAAGACTGGCTTTCATTTTTTATGTTTATAGGACAAGGGTTCTCCCCACCTGTCCTCAGCTTTGTGCTAGTAGCATGTAGTGCTTATACCCATAACTGTACTCTGGTCAGGAAGTAAGCATTAGTTTCAGAAAGTGGGGGGGAGCCCCACCTTGTAGATTAATGACATATTTATGTTTCAAAGGGGCCCTTGGAAACAAAGATGTAGTGTTAGGCCGGCCAGCTGGAAAACCTCTCAGCTGTGTTTGATGTGTCCACGTTAGGTTCTCTTTCTGACCCAGAAACAGAATTTAGCAAACTCCAGGTCCTCTTTTGCTGTGTGAAATAGGAAAAAAATATAAATGTTTCAAACAAAGGAGGAACTTAAAACAATTTGAAAGAACCTATTAAGACAAGAACAGGTAGAGAAATGCCCAATGTAATCTTAAAAACTAGAAATTTGAAAAATAGTTTATAGAGCCATGAAAATGATTTTCTCAGATGTCAGCCCTTTCGGCCAAAGCCTCATTTAGTTCATTGGGGTTTTTGAACATCTCTGAGCAGGAGATGGTGTTAGGTCTTGGAAAGGCTACATAGAGGATGAAAAACCAGTCCTCATGCTCAAGAAGGTCACATTCTATCCGGATTTGGATGGCGCTATGTGGTGCTTCTAGGCATGGGAAGCCTGGCCTCCATTCAACCACAGCGTCTCAGCCAGCACCTCAGTTAAATTCATTTATGTATCTATTCAACAGAACATCTTTAAAATGCCTGAGGAAGCAGAGTTAAAAGACACATCCCTGCTTGCATGGAACTCATTATAGTAATTAGCATTTACCAAGCTAAAGGGGACACACAACCTGCTGTGGGAGCTCAGAGCTGAAGATCTTAACCTTTTTGAAAGGGTCAGGAAATTCTTCACAGAAGAGAGAGGATTGGAGTGAGACCTGTAGGAGAAGGAGGTGGTCATCAAGCAGCAAAGACAACTGTTCCAGGGAAAGCAGTAATATGGTGTGTTCAGGAAAGGGTTTGATGTCCCTGGGCCAGGGTCACGTGGGAGTTGAGTGCTGGGATGTGAGGCTAGGAAGGATGGTTGTTATAGAAAGGGACTTTGTATGTCTTACTAAGATGTGAGGATTTGTATTTTATAAATCAAAGTCCAGGGCTTGATACAGTTGGTAGAAACCTGGGGCAGAGAGTCAAAGAGATTTGGGGTTGAATGCCAGCTCTTCTGGCTTCCTTACTTTGTGATCTTGGGAGATGATTCAAGAGATTCAAAAGAGTGCGCTCCACTCTTGCAGGGGGTGGGTAAGGCAAGATGGGGCAGAGGGAGAAAAGCTGAACTTCAGGCTGCTCTGGAGCTAGAATGGTCCTTTGGAGTTGTGTCCTGTCCAGATGAGGAGGCCTCGCCTTTGTTTTGCAGTCATTGGATTTGAGCTACCCTTGGGGCGGGTCTAAATAGTGTTAGGGTGAAGCAACTCCTTTTGGTGGAGGGTCGTTCCCAAGGGCAATTCTCAGAGCGGGATCAGCTGTGAGTTTCACCAGCCGATATTCCCAGTTGTTGGGGAAATAAGTTCTCGGCTCTTGAAGAAAGAGTCTGGGGAATGTACAGTAAACACACAAGTGCGTGTGTGTACACACACACACACACACACACACACAGCCTGTTTGCTACCTAGAAGTTTTCTTCCTTCCAGATTTCCTGGGACTCAAAAGAAGTCTAATTCTTGGAATGCTGTTTATAGGGGACTACTGGTTGCTTTGGCATTTAGTGGGGCAAACAGTCTTCTAACCATTGCTGACCAGCTGGAGAGTTAACAGTCATTACAGTTACAGGTGTCAAATTCTACCTTTCTCAAGCAAACCCAGCACACTACATCCCACACTTTTCCACATATTGTTGCCAGGAAAAGAAAGTGTAAGAGGAAGAAGGCAAAAGGGAAAGATTGGAGCTTATTGAGAAGCCATACCAGCCTGCTAGGACACATTTGTCATCTCGAAGAACAGGAAGCTAAATCCATACCGATCAAGTCCAGAGAACTTTAGGTCCCTTTAGATTAAAGAGTAAGACTAGTCTCTTCTGCCTTTTTTTTTTTTCTTTTTTTGATTACCTTTCTCTTCAGTCCAACTCTTCTTCCATTTTGATGGTTCCAGAAGCGTATTTTCTATCAGAATGGAAAGAAATCATCAGAGCTAGTCTGAAGTGACCTTTAGAACTATTATGGAGTCCTTAGCACAATGCTTGTCTTTTTTGGGGAGAGGATTTTGAGACTTCCTCATTTTTTAAAAGTATCCCCATGTCTGTATGGAGATCGAGCGAGATAAATGCTGGGTACGTGACAGGTTCAGCATCTTACACAGCTGTATTGTATTCCGTCAAGCTAGCAGTAGAAAATCCTTTTACCCAAACTGTTCTGTCAAATAAAGAGTCTGGAGCAGGTAATTCTAGGAATGTTTTTGTGCCCAAATGGACATAACAATCAGGAAGATACTTAGAAAAATATCTATCTAATTCCATGCATAGGTATAAGGAATAGCTTTAAAACTTAAATTTTAATCACATCAGAAATAGTTGTGATTTTCAGCAAGCAGAAATGGTGAAACTGTTTTAAAAAACAATATTCAATTACTCATATATTGATTATTTCAGATTTAGGCCTTTCAAACTGTAAATGAACACTGTTGGTCAGAATTACATGTAGTGGTTCATCTTTTAGGCTCTGAAATCAGATACTTTTGGTCATGAATCTTGGCTTTGTCACTAGCACAATTTGTGTGGACTTGGGAGTATTTGTAAACATTTTAGGCCTTTGTTTCTGCATCTGAAAAGTAGATATAGTGACCTATTTTGGGTAATTGTATGGAGGATTCATGAGTCATCCATGAGAAGCCACTTAGCCCTGTGTCTGGACTTAAGAAGTCCTAGGTAATTTTTAACTATTATCCTTTAACTGTTATCTTTACAGTTGTCTGTATTCTAAACCCTTATTCTGTACCATTATACTAAATGTTTCCTCAAGCCATTATACTCAGTGTGTCCTCATTCTAAGGAGAATATACATGATGACCCCATCTGGATCATTGCATATTGTTGGTTTATCACTTCCTAAGATCTTCCAAACCATATTTGTAAGCACACTCTGGGAGGTGTCTTCCCAGTGTCCTTGATTGTAGCCAGATTAAAATTTTGGTTCTCACATTTCCTCAGTGAATGGGAAATCAGGGAATAACCCAATGAATACCTGTGTTGGTCAACACCCCCTCACCCCCACTCCGGGCCCCTGAAGTGCCCACCCCCCAGGTGTTTCCCATGGAGAGTCTTAACTTTGAGGCTTCACTGAGGCCTTTTTAGGAGAAGGTTGGGAATTGGAGCCTCCTTGTACACGTGGGTTTGTGTCATTATCAGCCCTTGTTTCTTTCCCGGAAGAACAGGAGGTAGCAAAGTGTTTCCTTCTCTGTTCTCCAGCCGTGCCTCCCAAAGTGATGAGATTTTGCTGCCTTCTTTCCATTACTCAGGCTGAAAGAGAGGGTCCTGCATCTGCTTGGGTACTGTAGCCAGAAAATGTGTGGCTCGTATGCCGCACAGAACAATGTAATTAATGCCAGCAGGCGGAACTGCAGGAAAGGACACAGCCAGCTTGCAGTAATCGCTTTATTTAAGCACCTTATCACATGATCTTATTTCCCAATTTTAAGAATGTTAAAAGAAGTGTATTGTTTAAAGGGAGCCCAGTAAAATGGTAGCCATTTTCTACGCTAAATTATCTTGGTGTTTTTGTGGGGCTTTTTGTTTTGTTTTGTTTTTTAAAGATTTTATTTGTTTATTTGACAGAGAGAGATCACAAGTAGGCAGAGAGGCAGGCAGAGAGAGAGGAGGAAGCAGGCTCCCTGCTGAGCAGAAAGCCCGATTAGGGACTGGATCCCAGGACCCTGGGATCATGCCCTGAGCCGAAGGCAGAGGCTTTAACCCACTGAGCCACCCAGGCGCCCTATCTTGGTGTGTTTTAAATGATCTTCAACTCTATCATTTCCCCATGGATTGTTTCCAGAGTATTCATGTTTTTGTCCTTCTTTGGTTTGCATAAATATGCATCAAGTATCAGTTTATTCTATAATGACCTCTGTATACTACTACCACTTACTTAATTTTAACTGGGCACCAAGCACTGTACTCTGCATTTTTCAGACATTCACTCACAGGTGCTGCCCGTGAACAGGTATTATAATTCACATTTCACAGAGGAGGAAATAAAAGACTCAAAGATATAAATTGTAGAGCCAGGCTGGTGGGTAGGTATTTTGTCTTTGCCCACATGTCTTAGCTCATAGTTACTGTGGCTCTGTTGGTACTGTG